CACGGCGCCGTATGGCAAAATATGGCCTGGTCAGGAAGAGGGGTAAATCTTCTGGAGGTCAAGTGGTAATTTAGAAAAAAGTGCACTACCCTGTGGTCATTAAATAACAATGCCGTCTTTCTAAATAGCATGCATAGTCACTCAGTGTATGTATTTTATTTCTTTGTCACTTGTCAAGTCAACTCTAAACTTCCCAAAGGTATACAACATGATGCAGTTGGAAAGATATTCTCTTTCTCATCTAGAGCATATATTGTAGGTTCCATCGAGGCGAGACGCAGCCCGCTCTCCCAGATAGCTAGCCCCTTAAATGTGCTGTGGAATGTCACCCGGCGCACAGCCACTACAACTGGGCATGCGCAACTGCAAAGCCAAGGCATTCTCACTGTGCAGCCGCACTTCCCGCTGAAGGAGGAGGGGGAAACATGACCTACGTGAGAATGGAGCAGGGCGGAAGCAAGATGTCACAGCCACACCTACTCCCTTCATGCACCGGCCAATGGACAGCTGGTAGTGGTCAAATGCCCATGGGCCACAACAGATAAGCTACTATCTTCACCTGTATCAGTTCCTTTTTTCATATCGGCAAAATGCTGATAGGGCTATTTTTGGTCGATACATTTTGGTTCATCCCAGATAGGATAGATAGATAGATAGATAGATAGATAGATAGATAGATAGATAGATAGATGATAGATAGATAGATAGATAGATAGATGATAGATAGATAGATAGATAGATAGATAGATAGATAGATAGATAGATATCTCCATTTCCAATGAGCAATAAACTAAATAAAACTCACAAAGCAGATTGACTCTGGTCTTTAAGCATTTATAATAAGATAAACTACCTTTCATTTACCAGCATTTATTTTTTTACTTATTTCAGTTACTTACTGTATATAGCACCGTCAATTTACACAGCGCTTTACATATATATATTGTACATTCACATCAGTCCCTAACCCTCATGGGGTGTATAATCTAAGGTCCCTAATTTTCATTCATACATACACATACTAGGACCATTTTAGAAAGGAGCCAATTAACCTATCAGCATGTCTTTGGAGTGTCGGAAGGAAACCGGAGTACCTGGAGGTACAGACACAGGGAGAACAGGCAAATTCCAGGCAGGTGGTGCTGTGGCTGGGATTTGAAACCAATGACCCTAGTACTGCCAGGCAGCAGTACATTGTTTTCTCATACACAGGGCTGATTCATCTTCTTCTGATTCACCTTTGTCTCTGCCCCCTATTCACCTGCAAGGACCCGCCCCTTGGTTCTACCCCTGTACCCACCTACCAGTACTGCCCCTTTTAGAGAATACAGATCCAAGTATCATTTAATGGTGCTAAGTAATTTGTATAAAATGTGTTAATGATAACAAGAAAAGCAGTAAAATAGATCCCCTGCAGCCAGCAAGAATAAATCCACCACAGCAACAATAGACCCCTGGCAGCATCAACAGATCTCCCATCTACCAGCAATAAATAAACCTTCCAGGAGCCAGAAAATATAGACTCCTACCTCAACAGTAAATCTCTGCCAGCAACAAATGTCTCCCTAGAAACAAAAGACCCTCTAGCCAAAATAGATTTCCCACCAGCAACAATAGACCACCCTCACGCAAATATAGATCCCCTCCAGGAACAATAAATCCCCCAGCAGCCAGCATCAATAGACCCTCCAGCACACCTCACAACCTCTTGCAATTACATACATTCAGTGCTGGAGGTGCTGGAACTGCGTCTCCCCACATTCCTGCTGAAAAAAACCCTGCTCATACATATGTCAAACTTACCATTTGGAAGCTAACAGAAATAAAAAAATCCAAGGGAGCATTTTGTTTTCAGTTTTTCTAAACAGCCATGATATCAACTAGAAGTTGCATTACAGTTATATACACTGTGGTCAGGCACCACTTTGATTTTAGTTTCACTTTGACAAGGCACCTAATGCTGGCCATAGATGGACTACTTTTTTCATTCATTCAGCCAGTGGGCTTACACTTGTGGGGTCACCAACAGCAGAGGAAGGAGGTCCTGAATCCCCTATACAGATCTTTAGCTATCACTAGAGAGACCACCAGCAGGAGGAAGGAAGGAGGTCCTGAATCCCCTATATAGATCTTTCGCTATCACTAGAGAGTCCACCAGCAGGAGACAGAAGGTCCTGAATCCCCTATATAGATCTTTAGTTATCACTAGAGAGACCACCAGCATAAGGCAGAAGGTCCTGAATCCCCTATATTGATCTTTAGTTATCACTAGAGAGACCACCAGCAGGAGGAAGGAGGTCCCTGAATCCCCTATATAGATCTTTAGTTATCACTAGAGAGACCACCAGCAGGAGGAAGGAGGTCCTGAATCCCCTATATAGATCTTTCGCTATCAATAGAGAGTCCACCAGCTGGAGGCAGAAGGTCCTGAATCTCCTATATAGATCTTTAGTTATCACTAGAGAGACCACCAGCATGAGGCAGAAGGTCCTGAATCCCCTATATAGATCTTTAGCTATCACTAGAGAGACCACCAGCAGTAGGAAGAAGGTCCTGATTCCCCTATACAGATCTTTTGCTATCACTAGAGAGACCACCAGCAGGAGGCAGAAGATCCTGAATCCCCTATATAGATCTTTAGCTATCACTAGAGAGACCACCAGCAGGAGGCAGAAGATCCTGAATCCCCTATATAGATCTTTAGCTATCACTAGAGAGACCCAGCAGGAGGCAGAAGATCCTGAATCCCCTATATAGATCTTTAGTTAACATTCTGGATACTGTATCCACTTCTAGAGACCTCACTCACAAAAAGATATTGATAAGACAGAACAAGAGAACAACAGAGATGGCAACAAAAATAGTGAACGGCCTAAGTGATAAAGCATATCATGAGAGACTTCAGGAACGTAATATGTACAGTCTGGAGGAAAGAAGGGAAAGGGAAGGTTTTTTAAATGCCTAATTCATGAAAGGGGTGAATAAGGTTCAGGAGGGCAGTATTTTCAATATGAAGCCAAGATCAAGAACACGGGGACATGACCTCAAACCAGCAGGAGGAAAGTTCAGAACTAATCTTAGAAAGTATTATTTTACCGAAAGGGTAGTTGGTGCTTCTAATAGACTTCCAGCAGAGATAGTGAGTCAGTCATCAAAAGTGAATTCAAATATGCTTGGGACAAACACAAATGGTATACTCAAACAAAAAGTTAAAAAAAAAAAAAACAACCCCAAAACCATATATACATTAAAAATGGGGGCAGACTAGATGGACTGCTTGGTCTTTTTTCTGCTGTCACACCTCTTTGTTTTTAATGATTAAATCTGCAGCTTTAATTTAAATATCTGGTGATTCTGCCATGAAAGTCATGCTTCAGGCACTTCCAGTTATAGGGTGACAATTCTCTGTCCCTTCAAATTATGCTCCTGCATGATCACCCAGGCTCCCAAAGGAAACACTGCAAGTAACTACAGTATTTAAAACAAATTACACAGACATGATCCACTATTGTCACTATCAAGAAACTCCCATGAGAATTGCCATGTAGCCATAACTAGAATGCATGTAGATAGAAAGTGGCTGTAAAGAGATTGCACGAGAGCAGCAGCATTAAAAGGTGAAAAAGGATGAAAACAAAATGCAATAAGTATAGTGCTACCCCAGCAGGGTCCGCTGGTAATTTGGGTCCCCTGCTCTTGGTCTAGCCCTGTGTGAGGCCTCTCCCTCACTGACACCACCAGGATACCTTTCTGTTAACCTCAGCAGGCACAGGAGAATTAGACTCACAACTCTATAAAAGATAAACAAGCTCCATTGACAGGGTAAAGTCATAGTAATATAACAGGATGCATTGGCACCTTAAGTCAATCAGCATGAACACAAGGTTAGAGGTATACAGTAAATAATCCCTCCAATACTTTAGTGAAATATGCAGATTCCAGCATACACTATAACTTCCAAAGGTATAAACAGTAGCTGTCCGGATAAGAAGAAACGAGAGTGGCCAAACAAGAGTTAAAAAATGCAGAACAATTATGCCAATGGAGAGCTCTTAAACTAAGGAAATAGGTTTAGCTCTGCTAGATGAAACTCAGAGTTACACACAGAACTGGCCTCATGATGAAGTCACTTGGGTAAGTCTTTGTGATGTACAGTGGGGCAAAAAAAGTATTTAGTCAGCCACCAATTGTGCAAGTTCTCCCACTTAAAAAGACGAGAGAGGCCTGTAATTGGCATCATAGGTAGACCTCAACTATGAGAGACAAAATGAGAAAATAAATCCACACAATCACATTGGCTGATTTGGAAAGAATTTATTTGCAAATTATGGTGGAAAATAAGTATTTGGTCAATATCAAAAGTTCATCTCAATACTTTGTTATACCGTATTTTTCGCACCATAAGACGCACTTTTTTCCCCCCAAAAAAAGGGGGAAAATGTCAGTGCGTCTTATGGAGCGAATATGGAGCAGCCGGTCCGGTATTTCCACTGCCGCCGTGTCAGAATACCGGGCGGCCGCTCAGCTCTACAGCGGGACCTTATAGAGATGACTGCTGACCTTTGGGGAGGGGGGGGAGCGGATACCTGAATTTGACAGGTACCCGCTCCCACTTCCGTGGAGTTGTTCTTTCATCTTACCCGTTCCTCTATCCAGCGGCGCGGTCTTCCCGGGTTCTGTAGTGTGGGCATGACAGCAGGGTGCCAAGTGCGCATGCGCAGGAAGCGGTGCTTTTTGTGAATGGTAAGGCGGCACCTGGGACACATGACAGATCCCAGAAGCCGCTGGACCAATCACAAAGCGCAAGTGCTTCTCGCTCATGCGCACTGGGCACCCGGCTGTCATGCCGAGCTCCATTACAGAAGCCGGGAAGACACGCGCGCGGCTGGATAGAGGAACAGGTAAGATGAAAGAACAACTCCACGGAAGTGGGAGCGGGTACCTGTGAAATTCAGGTACCCGCTCCCCCCCTCCCCAAAGGTCAGCAGTCATCCCCTGTACTATCCACAGTCTCTGGTCATCCCTGTGCTGTCCGCAGTCTCTGGTCATCCCTGTGCTGTCCGCAGTCTCTGGTCATCCCTGTGCTGTCCGCAGTCTCTGGTCATCCCTGTACTGTGTCCGCAGTCCCTGGTCATCCCTGTGCTGTCCGCAGTCTCTGGTCATCCCTGTACTGTCCGCAGTCCCTGGTCATCCCTGTACTGTGTCCGCAGTCTCTGGTCATCCCTGTGCTGTCCGCAGTCTCTGGTCATCCCTGTACTGTGTCCGCAGTCTCTGGTCATCCCTGTACTGTGTCCGCAGTCTCTGGTCATCTCCTGTACTGTGTCCGCAGTCTCTGGTCATCTCCTGTACTGTGTCCGCAGTCTCTGGTCATCCCTGTACTGTGTCCGCAGTCTCTGGTCATCCCTGTACTGTGTCCGCAGTCTCTGGTCATCTCCTGTACTGTGTCCGCAGTCTCTGGTCATCCCTGTACTGTGTCCGCAGTCTCTGGTCATCCCTGTACTGTGTCCGCAGTCTCTGGTCATCCCTGTACTGTGTCCGCAGTCTCTGGTCATCCCTGTACTGTGTCTGCAGTCTCTGGTCATCCCCTGTACTGTGTCCGCAGTCTCTGGTCATCCCTGTACTGTGTCCGCAGTCTCTCTGGTCATCCCTGTACTGTGTCCAAAGTCTCTGGTCATCCCTGTACTGTGTCCGCAGTCTCTGGTCATCCCTGTACTATGTCCGCAGTCTCTGGTCATCCCTGTACTATGTCCGCAGTCTCTGGTCATCTCCTGTACTATGTCCGCAGTCTCTGGTCATCCCTGTACTGTGTCCGCAGTCTCTGGTCATCCCTGTACTGTGTCCGCAGTCTCTGGTCATCCCCTGCACTGTGTCCGCAGTCTCTGGTCATCCCTGTTTGTACTGTGTCCGCAGTCTCTGGTCATCTCCTGTACTGTGTCCGCAGTCTCTGGTCATCCCTGTACTGTGTCCGCAGTCTCTGGTCATCCCCTGCACTGTGTCCGCAGTCTCTGGTCATCTCCTGCACTGTGTCCGCAGTCTCTGGTCATCTCCTGTACTGTGTCCGCAGTCTCTGGTCATCTCCTGTACTGTGGCCGCAGTCTCTGGTCATCCCCTGAACTGTGTCCGCAGTCTCTGGTCATCTCCTGTACTGTGTCCGCAGTCTCTGGTCATCTCCTGTACTATGTCTGCAGTCCATTAGTTCAGAATTTTTTTTTCCTGTTTTCTGCCTCTAAAACCTAGGTGCGTCTTATGGTCAGGTGCGTCTTATGGAGCGAACAATACGGTATATCCTTTGTTGGCAATGACAGAGGTCAAACTTTTCCTGTAAGTCTTCACAAGGTTGGCAAACACTGCTGCTGGTATGTTGGCCCATTCCTACAATCACATTGGCTGATTTGGAAAGAATTTATTTGCAAATTATGGTGGAAATAAGTATTTGGTCACCTACAAACAAGCAAGATTTCTGGCTCTCACAGACCTGGACCTTCTTCTTTAAGAGGCTCCTCTGTCCTGCACTCATTACCTGTATCGAAGGCACCTGTTTGAACTTGTTATCAGTATAAAAGACACCTGTCCACAACCTCAAACAGTCACACTCCAAACTCCACTATGGTGAAGACCAAAGACCTGTCGAAGGACACCAGAAACAAAATTATAGACCTGCACCAAGCTGGGAAGACTGAATCTGCAATAGGCAAGCAGCTTGGTGTGAACAAATCAACTGTGGGAGCAATAATTAGAAAATGGAAGACATACAAGACCATTGATAATCTCCCTCAATCTGGGGCTCCACGCAAGATCTCACCCCGTGGGGTCAAAATGATCACAAGAACGGTGAGCAAAAATCCCAGGACCACACGGGGGGACCTAGTGAATGACCTGCAGAGAGCTGGGGACCAACGTAACAAAGGCTACCATCAGTAACACACTACGCCGCCAGGGACTCAGATCCTGCAGTGCAAGACGTGTCCCCCTGCTTAAGCCTAGTACATGTCCGGGCCCGTCTGAAGTTTGCTAGAGAGCATTTGGATGATCCAGAAGAGGATTGGGAGAATGTCATATGGTCAGATGAAACCAAAATAGAACTGTTTGGTAGAAACACAACTCGTCGTGCTGGGAGGAGAGAGAATGCTGAGTTGCATCCAAAGAACACCATACCTACTGTGAAGCATGGGGGTGGGAACATCATGCTTTGGGGCTGTTTCTCCGCAAAGGGACCAGGACGACTGATCCATGTACAGGACAGAATGAATGGGGCCATGTATCGTGAGATTTTGAGTGCAAACTCCTTCCATCAGCAAGGGCATTGAAGATGAAACGTGGCTGGGTCTTCCAACATGACTGTCAGGAATTTACTGGCCAGCAATAGTGGGACTCGCCTGCCTTATGAGCTGCAGTACTAGGGCTGGCCAGCGGGTGCTCCCAGCAATCAGAGACTCAACCTTGCAGCCAGTCAAACACCTGGAACTAATTATACTGGTGTATTTAAGGGACATTCAGACCTGCAGACTCTGCCTTGGTGTTGTGTTTCTCCTGGGCCCTGTTCCCTGTTCCTGTCTGATTCTCTGCTGACCCTGCTCTGATCCCTGGCTTGTCTGACCATTCTCCTGCTCCTGATCCCTGGCTTGTCTGACCATTCTCCTCTGCCTGACCCTCTGTACCACGCTGCCCGCTACCTGCTGAACCTGGCTTGTGACCCCGACCATTCTCCGCTTGCTCCCCCTGTACCTACCTGCCCGATTGATATTGACCCGGCCTGCCTGACGACGCTTGCATTGTATGTACTGTTATCTGTGGGTGGTTGGTTGGTTTGTTTGCACTGTGTTATGTTTTAGTATTGCACTGCGTTTATGTTTGTATTGTTAGTGTTAATAAATTATATTGTTTATAACATATCTGAAGTCTGCACTTCCCTGCGTCAGTCACACACCTCTGGTCATACCCTGGAGCCCTGACATTACACCAAGGCCAATCCTGACCAGAAGTGGCTGCACAGGGAAGCCATCTTGGCTTGTTGCTGGGAAGGATGGATCTTGATGAGGTTGTGTATTTATATCTGCTAGTGTTTGATGACAGAGAGTATGCTTATCAAACTCTGAAGGAGTATCCCCGGGATCAACTGCTAGAATGTATACGGCTCGCTCATGTTCTAGTAGATCAGGGCACAGAATTCTCTGAGGTGCAACCATTGATTCAGATTTGTGCGGAGTTGGTTTCATCTGGTACCCCTGAATGCAGGGATGAATTTTTGCCGCCATTTAGTGCCGACCAGGTAGAGTCCCTGGTATGGTTATTAGAGGATGATGTGGGTTACTTTCTGGAGCGTTATTCCACATGTTCACCACAGACACTAAGAGATTGTATAAATGCAGTGCAGTCTTTGGTCAGACAGGCTTTGTGTAAGCTCAGCTTTGTTCAACCCATACTGCAGACATGGTCAGACTTGTTGCACCCAGCCTCAGTCAGCTTACAAAAACCCAGTCCTGCTTCTAATCTATTTCCTCAAAGCTCTACTCCTGCATTCCCAACAGCTCCTCCTGCCCTGCTATCTACCGCATGTCAGTACCCTGTTCCCACTCGCTGCACCTATCCTGCCTTTAACCCTGTAAAAAAGCCCTCTGTAGCAACTGCTCCCTCCTCCTCTGTTCCATCCTCCAGCTCTTCTCTGTCTCCAGCTGCTCCATTCGTTTGCAGACCTGCGTTTACTTGCAGTGCTCCAGTAGTTAAAACCAGAAAAAAGCGAAAATTCTTTCCAACCAATACCATCCTGCCAGTATCCAAACCGGTGAACCTGCCTTCCGTGGTTCAGCCTGAAGCCTCTACTCAGCCTGATGCCTCTACTTGGCCTGAAGCCTCTACTCGGCCTGATGCCTCTACTCAGCCTGATGCCTCTACTCAGCCTGATGCCTTTACTCAGCCTGATGCCTCTCTTCAGCCTGATGCCTCTCTTCAGTCTGATGCCTCTACTCAGCCTGAAGCCTCTACTCAGCCTGAAGCCTCTACTCAGCCTGATGCCTCTACTCAGCCTGATGCCTCTACTCAGCCTGATGCCTTTACTCAGCCAGGATGCCAATTACAGGCCTCTCTCATCTTTTTAAGTGGGAGAACTTGCGCAAATGGTAACTGACTAAATACTTTTTTGTGCCCCACTGTATCTTCTGCTGGCAATATTGGGGTCCTATAAACATGTTGGCATGCAGGGTGATGAGCACTTGTCAATAAATTGAGTATTGCTGCAATGTATCACAGATATTGACATACCTCCCAACTTTTTGAGATGGGAACAAGGGACGCCTATTAGCAAAATGATGCAGGCATAGGTCACAACCCCCTGCCACACCCCCTTAAAGGAAAATTATACAAAAAAAAGATTTGTTAAACCCACAAGTGTTTTTTTTTTTTTTTTATATTGCTTTTGAAATTTAAAAATGCAGCAATTTAGAATTTGGATGAAAGTTTAGCACTGTGAAACTGTTTTTGATAGATAAAAAGTGCATTTTCTATACCAGTGTTTCTCAACCTTTTTTCAGTCAAGGTACCTTAAAAATTATAAACAGTCCCGAGGCACCCTTTAAAATTATGGAAAGTCTTTAGGCACCCCATTCTAAATGAAATGTAAAAGGTTTTATATAACACTGCATCATCCATACATGTGGGATACCCAACATTAGAGGTGGTTTATTCTTCCAAAGCAAATACACTTTTGCACACTGGTACTGACTAGTATTCCAATGTTTCTCTTCTCCCTCAGTTTTTTCTCCATCACTGAGCTAATGTGACCCCAGCACTGATGGAGAGAGAGAAGGGGAGGGTCAAACTAGGATGCTGTGCAGGTAACCGACATCCTCCTTATCAACTGATGATGTCATTGGCTGTCAGGATGCCGGAGGCTAGAAGGTCGTAATGGTGCACAATGAAAACCTGTGGCTTTGTGTAACTAAAAGGCAGGCTTGTTCCACCCGCTGGCTTGTATACAAGTTCTGGGCAATTTTTAGATATTTTGCCAAGGCACCCTTGAAGAAACCTCAAGGCACCCCAGGGAGCCTGGGCACCCTAGTTGAGAAAGGCTGTTCTATACAACTATATAGATCAGACCAAATGAGGAGGAAAGAGCACAGAAGGACTTTGTTCTAAATCAGGAACAATCCCTAGAAATCAGGGACAGTTGGGAGCTATGTATTGAACCTCTTTAGGGCAAATGAATACTGAGGAGGGGCAGGCCCAGAAACAGCAGCCAGGTGCCAAAATATACCCTGTTTAAACAGTTATATGTAAAGGTGGGCACAGCTGCAGTAGATTGATCCAACGGTGTGCTGAATGTCAGCACTTTGGAGTATTAAAACAGACTATAGGGCTGTATCAGGCTCTGTCTAAAGCAGCAGGGGCATTCACAAAGATTTCAGGAGAGGGGGGTCTGTGAATGAAAGTTCTTAGCAAGTGGATGCAATCAGAGAAGTATCAGATGGAAAATTATTCCAATATCACCTCATCCTCTAAAGCACAGGTGTCAAGCTGGTGGCCCTCCAGCTGTTGCCAAACTACAAGTCCCATGAGGCATTGCAAGATTGACAGTTACAAGCATGACTCCCAAAGGCACAGGCATGATGGGACTTGTAGTTTTGCAACAGCTGGAGGGCCACCAGTTTGACACCCCTGCTCTAAAGTATATCCAACACCAAACCTTTTTTTTCATGTTTTATAGAGCGGTGAGGGGTTAGATTGGATGCATTCTCTTATTTTTAGCTGCTTCCTGCCTGGCCTATAGTACAATGATGACTGAGCGGGGGCGCTGCCAACCTGGGTGGATGTCATATGACGTCATCCCATGATCAGGCCGTGCTATAGTGTGATCTGTCACCCTCTGTGTCCACCAGACACAGCAGATGACAAATCAGTGTACTAGGCTGCTGCCAGTACCATGTGGTCTGGTCACTGTGACCAATCACATGACACATGACCATCACATGACAGCTGTACACAACTAATAGCCAACTTGTTCATTCCATGCCTAGAAGACTTGGTGCTGTCCTTACAAATAATGGAGGTCATACAAAATACTAGATGTAGTAGTTTTAGTTGTGGGGTGTATTCATTTTTGCTTCAACTAATTTGAGTAAAACTGAAGATTTTGTGATCTAAGTTATAATATTAACCTTACTTCCATGTAATGAGCTAAACAAATGTTCTATAAAGCTCAGTTTTGTCAAAATTTTGGAAATTGTTCTTGTGCTCATTGAGATATTGAATAAAATCGTATTTTTAAAAGGAGTGTACTCATTTTGTGCTGAGCACTGTATATTCCTTTATCTGCATATGATTTAATTTTGATGTGTATTGGTGTTTATTATTATTATTTATGTCTGGCGCGGCAATTCGTTTATATCAATTTGTATGCAATCATTCTAATTGTTTTGCCAGCTGCTTTGTTTCATACCAGCACAATTTCTATTGGTAGTGTCCCTGTATATATGTTGCAAATAATTTGCCTTTGTCATTAGCTGCAGAGAGGTAACTAGGCTGTAAATATGTGTATTTGTATATTGAAATTAATTTTTATACTAGCTTATTTTGTATATATTTTATTTCCCCCTTCCCAGTTTTTGTTCCCTTTCCCCTTCCCATTTTTCTGTACAGAATGCCCTGCTCCTTTTAGCTCAGGAGATGTGTTTGTTCTTTTTGCCCCCAGCCAATGAGGACTTAGCTGTTTTTTCAGTGGAGGGTGAATGTAGCACCCCCCTAGTTTAGCTAGGGGGAGCTAGAGTCCTGATTGTCAGTGAGGAAGGCTGCAGCTTAGGTGCAATAGCCAGAAGGTCAAATTATGGTCAGGGCTGAGAGGCTCTGCAAGCCAGCCCCTCTGGAATTTCCCCCTGCTCTAGGGCTTTTGGAAGAGGGCCCTAGAGGCAGTTGGTGGATTTGAGGAGTGTCTGGGTGCACTTTTGAGGGATCCTAGCCAATCCCCAACAAGAGGTTGGCAAGGGGCTTGGCACCCTTAACCACTTGCCCTACAGAGGATTTACCTCCCTTCCTGACCAGGGCATTTTTGGCGAATATGGCGCTGCATTACTTTAATTGACAATTGCGCGGTTATGCAACGCTGTGCATAAATGAAATTTATGTCCTTTTTTCCCCACAAATAGAGCTTGGCCACGGATGGAGCATACAGGAGCCGACCGCATGCAGGAGATGGATAGGAGAGGCAGCTGGGCAGTACATAGAGGAATGCATGGTCCTCTAAGTGCCACCCGGCTGCCTCTCCTATCCAGGCAGCCCCAGCCCCATGGCTGACAAGTTCACTTTCTCCTCACCAATCCTTGCCGCCCGAGCACACACGAGCCCCGCCTGAACCTGCGAACACACACCCCCGCCTTAGTACACACAAGCATGTCCTCTGCTCTAGCACACAGGAGCACACCCCCCCCACCCCCTTGCCCTAGCACACACAAGCACACCCGCCCTGCCCAAACACTATCCTTTGCAGCGACGGCACTGGTCCCTTCTGCCTGGGGGCGATGCCGTCCCCCTGAAAAATGCCACCCAAGGCACGTGTCTTGTTTGCCTTGAGGCAGATATGTCCCTGATTGGGATGTCAGTGGCAGTTAGTCAGTTCCCACCCAGTGTCAGAATAAGTGGTGTATTTAGGTTTCATGCTGTCCTAGGCAACACAAAAATTGGCACCCCCATTGACCAACAACACCCCAGTCCCCCAACCCTCACCCAAGAGAGCCTTCCATTACCACTGCCCCCCCATACACTGGCAACCCCCACCCTGACAAGAGAGAAGACACTCACCTTCACAGCTCCAGATATCCCCGGGAACAAGATTCAGGCTCTGCATACACCATCAAGCAGCTCACAACCTCTCTCTGATCCCACCTGGTCCCCGTGCTGTGTGTGTCCCTTCTTCCTTTCGGGGGACAGCGCTGCCCCCCTGAAAAATGCTGATGCCCCACTGAAAAATGCCGCCCTAGGCAAATGCCTTGTTTGCCTTGTGGTAAAAACAACCCTGGTCAGAATGCCCACCGCAGCCCCACTATAAGTTGTTAATTGCCATCATTACTAGTATAAAGAAAAAAAATTCCATTATATATACCGCCATTTGTAAATGCTTTAACTTTCACATAAACCAATTAATTTACATGTATTGGAATTTTGTTTAGCAGAGACATGTAGTTGAATACATTTTGGCCTAAATTTATGACAAAACTTGGTTTTTAAATTTTTTTTTACTGGACATGTTTTATAGCGAAAAATCAAAAGTATTGTTTTTTTTCAAAATTGTTGGTCTTTTTTTGTTTATAGTGCAAAAATTAAACAACGCACAGGCAATCAAATATCTCCGAAAGAAAGATCTATTTGTGGGGAAAAAAATGACAAATTTCATTTGGGTGCAGCATTGCATGACCGCGCAATTGTCAGTTAAATTAACACAGCGCCGTATCGCAAAAAATGGCCTGGTCAGGAAGGAGGGTAAATCCTCAGGATGGCAAGTGGTTAAAGTCGAAGAGGGGGGTGATATGTTTCCTGTCCAGAGTGGAGCCACAGTCTGCAGCAAGACCCTTGAAAAGCATAAACAGGAAACATATGACCTCCATTTCCTTGACTTGTGTCTATTGGTTGTTACATGGAATAAGAAAGGTGGAGTGGAGGTCACATGTTTCCTGTTGAGTGGAGCTCCACTCTGCAGCCTCTACTTGTAAGTTACATTAAAGCGGATCTCCACCCAAAAGGGGAAGTTCCTTTTTTGCTCCTGATTAAGGATTGGCACCCACCTTTGGGGAGCGGGTACCGGAATTTGACAGGTACTCGCTCCCATTTCCACTGCGAATCAGATTTAGAAGCGGAAGTTGTCCTCCCTCCCTCCCCGTAGTCTTCTGGGACACGTGATAGGTCCATTCAGACTTGCGCATGTGCAGTGGGCACCCGCAAGCAAGCTGTCACAGCCGGGTGCCCACACTGAAGATGGCGGTGTGGGAACACAGGACAGCAGATGAAACGGGTCTATGGGGAGGACACGAGGGACAGGTAAGTGGCTGCTTTTAAAAGTCAGCAGCTGCTTTTATTTATTTTTTATTTTCACTGGAACTCCGCCTTAAAATTCACAAAAAAAGGAGTGGAGGTCACGTGTTTCCTGTTGAAAATGGAGCTCCATTCTGTAGCCAGACTCCCTTGGAGGAATAGAGGCAAGGGCATTTCAGGTAACCAGCTGTCAACAGAAAAGAAACTTCTGATTGGCCAGAAAGCGGTGGGAGGAGCAACAGGCAGACGTCCGATATGTAAGACTCTATACACAGGCACGCGTTGGGAGGAGCTTCTGCAGGGAAACAGCCGATATGAGGAGATCTGCCCTTCCCTCCTCCCACAGCTGCTTCCCGCCCCTCCCAGCCAGGAAGTCAGGGTGTTGAGGCACTGCTGCACGGCAGTCATGGTGTCCTCCTCCCCGGGGTCGGTGCTGAGGGCTGTGCTGTCCCGCTGGAAGTCATACCGGCACCGCTTTGTGCCCTGGGTGGCTCTGAACCTGGCCCGGAACCGCAGGTTTGAGTCCTTGTTGTCTGTCGGGAGCCGGTCTGCCCCATGTTCTGTATACAAGTTCGCAGCTCCCCCTGCAGGCCAGCCCCGGGAGTGGCGCACAGTGTGTAGTCTGGTTGGCAGTGGTGGGGGAGGGGCGCTCCTAATGTACATAGAGTACAGGGACTTAACACAAGGCCTGACTGACATGCCTGTCCTCTGGCATCACTACTTCCAGTCATTGACCTCGATTACCCGCTTCACCTCCAACCCAATTATCACATTTCTTATATTTACAAATCTGCATTGCTTACAACCCCCAAACATCCGGTATATATTTTTGAGGAGAGACCCTGGGGAATAAAATAGTGGTGGCTGCAATTTTTATGCTGCAAGTTTTTTTGCAAAGCAAAAAAAAAAATTCAGGGAAAAAATACACTTTTTTTAATGAATTTTAGAGAGCACAATATACCGTATTTTTTGCTCCATAAGACGCACCTAGGTTTTAGAGGCTGAAAACAGGAAAAAAAAACTATTGACTGAACTAATGGACTGCAGACACGGTACAGGAGATGTCCAGAGACTGCGGACGCGGTACAGGAGATGTCCAGAGACTGCGGACGCGGTACAGGAGATGTCCAGAGACTGCGGACGCGGTACAGGAGATGTCCAGAGACTGCGGACGCGGTACAGGAGATGTCCAGAGACTGCGGACGCGGTACAGGAGATGTCCAGAGACTGCGGACGCGGTACAGGAGATGTCCGGAGACTGCGGACGCGGTACAGGAGATGTCCGGGAGACTGCGGACGCGGTACAGGAGATGTCCGGAGACTGCGGACTGCGGTACAGGAGATGTCCGGAGACTGCGGACGCGGTACAGGAGATACAGGACAGGAGATGCCCGGAGACTGCGGACGCGGTACAGGAGATGCCCGGAGACTGCGGACGCGGTACAGGAGATGCCCGGAGACTGCGGACGCGGTACAGGAGATGCCCGGAGACTGCGGACGCGGTACAGGAGATGCCCGAGACTGCGGACGCGGTACAGGAGATGACCGGAGACTGCGGACACAGTACGCTCCACAAGACGCACTGACATTTCCCCCCTTTTTTTGGGGGAAAAAAGTGCGTCTTATGGAGCGAAAAATACGGTAATAGCCAATGTTTTGGTAAAATCTGAAGATGACGTTACACTGAGTAAACAGATACCTAACATGGCACGCTTTAATATTGTGTACGCTCGTGGGGCAGCAACCAACTGCGGGACCTAAAAATCTCCATGGGGGACACTAACCACTTCAAGTCTGGACGCTTTCACTACCTTCCAGGCCAGGTCGATGCTCAGTCCTGTCACTTTGTATGACAATTGCGCAGTCATGCAACATTCTACCCAGATGACATTTGTATAATTTTTTTTTTCACACAAATAGGTTTGATGGTATTTTATCACCATTGGGATTTTGTTTATTTTTTGCTATATACATAAAAAAAAAAAAAAATTTTTTTTGCTTAGTTTTTGTTATAAAATTTTGCAAATAATCTTCATAAATTTAGGTCAAAATGTATTCTGTTGCATTTGTGGGGTAAAATAATCATAATCGGTGTATATTATTTAGTGTGAATGGTACAGAGCCTACAAACTATGGGATATATATATAAAAAATTTCATCAGTTTTACCCTAAAATGCTGGATATTGGTATGATGTGTGGCAGTCATCAGGATGTTGGTATGGGATATGGTATTGATCAGGACATTGGTATGGAGGTGATCCCAACACTGGCATGGGTGATTGGGACGCTGGTATGGGATATGGCGGTGATCGGGGCGCCGGTATGGCGGTGATCGGGGCGCCGGTATGGCGGTGATCGGGGCGCCGGTATGGCGGTGATCGGGGCGCCGGTATGGCGGTATCGGGGGCGGTGGTGATCGGGGCGCCGGTATGGGGGGGGGGCGCCGGTATGGGGTATGGCGGTGATCGGGGCGCCGGTATGGGGTATGGCGGTGATCGGGGCGCCGGTATGGGGTATGGCGGTGATCGGGGCGCCGGTATGGGGTATGGCGGTGATCAGGGCGCTGGTATGGCGGTGATCATGGCCCTGGTATGGGGTATGGCGGTGATCAGTGGTATGGCGGTGATCATGGCGCTGGTATGGGGTATGGCGGTGATCAGGGCGCTGGTATGGCGGTGATCATGGCGCTGGTATGGGGTATGGCGGTGATCAGTACCCTGGTATGGGGTATGGCGGTGATCAGGGCGCTGGTACGGTGATCATGGCGCTGGTATGGGGTATGGCGGTGATCAGTACCCTGGTATGGGGTATGGCGGTGATAGTACCCTGGTATGGGGGGCGCTGATCAGTGGGTATGGGGTAGCGGTGATCAGGGCGCTGGCATGGGGTGATAGCGGTGATCAGGGCGCTGGCATGGGGCTGATAGCGGTGATCAGGGCGCTGGCATGGAGCTGATAGCGGTGATCAGGGCGCTGGCATGGGGCTGATAGCGGTGATTAGGGCGCTGGCATGGCATATTTAGGTGATCCGAATATTGGTATGGTGGTGGTCAGGACACTGGTATGGTATGTGGGGTGATCAGTGATGGGGTATGGCGGTGATTGGACACAGCAATCACCATGTGACCACCGAGACACAGCGGTAGTAATGCAATCCGCTGTGTCCAGGTGACACACGGATCACTCAGCTCCCCAGTGCATGCTTTTTGAGCTGCGTAGGACCCACCAATGCAGACTGACATACAGGTACATTAGCCTACATTGTGCCGCTTCCATCTGCCATCTATAGGCAATGGGCAGACAGGAAGCAGTTAAAAGCATTTACAGGTTACCAGTTTAGAGTTGGAGAAGGTCTGGTGCTGGAATTGTTCTCATTCTGATGTTCTTGGAAATACCTCACGTGTGTGTGGTGCAATCACCGTTTATATTAGTGTGAGGGACTATTTATGTGTTAGTATTTGCACATGGGGGATGGGGCTTTTTTAATTTTTTTTTTTTTTTTTTACACTGTTTTTTTTTTTTTTTTTTTTTTTTGTATCAATTTTATTGCTGTGATAGCATGAGCCATGATATCATTTGTGATCGCATGAGCCATGACAGGCACTCTTTTTAATGAGAGATCTGGGATCTATTAGACCTCCTATCGCCGGCTGAAAACTGTTACTGGGATCATGGCTGCAGCTGCTTCAACCCAAGGTATAGCGCTCAGCATAAATGAGTACACCCCTTTTGAAAAGTAAGATTTTAATTGATGTCTCAATGAACACAAATTTTGACAACTGAGTATTATAGAACATTTGTTTAGCTCATTACATGGAAGTAAGGTTAATAGTATAATTTATAATACAAAATCTTCAGTTTTGCTCAAATTAGTTGATGCAAAAATGAATACACCCCACAACAAAAACTAATCCATCTAGCATTTTGTATGACCTCCATGATTTGTAAGAACATCACCAAGTCTTCTAGGCATGGAATGAACAATTTGGTGACATATTGCAACATCTATCTTTTCCATTCTTGAAGAACGACCTCTTTTAGAGCCTGGATGCTGGATGGAGGGTGATGCTCCACTTGTCTCTTTAGAATTCCCCATAGGTGTTCGATTGGGTTCAAATCAGGAGACATACTTGGCCACTGAATTACTTTCACCCTGTTCTTCTGCAGAAATACAACATCTCATCAGAAGACGCTCCTGTTGAGATGTTAACTTCTGTGGATGGCCTGGATGTCTCTGTGAGATGGTTGCAGTTCCATCTTTGTTAAATTTTGTATCACTTTTGCTACAGTATTCTGACAAGTAAAGCTTTGCTGATCTTATAACCTTCACCTTACCTGTGTAAAGAAATTATTTTCTTTCTCAGGTCTTGTGACATTTCTGTTCCATGTGGTGCCATTGCTGACAGCATGAAATAGGAAAGGTTTTTTTTTTGTTAAAGTGTTACTAAACCCACAACAGTAAAATCAGTCTGTATATGCAGTAAAGCATGCTTGTTATACTCACTGTGGAACCTAAGGGGTTAATCCTCTGCATTGTGTAAAAAGCGATGTTTTGATCCTGACTTCTCTGACCCTCCTTTTTCCAGTGTTCCCCCTCTTATCTCCTGATAAGACATATCGTGTGGAGACACTTCCCATGCTCAGTTTGGTGTGTATTGCTAGAAAGGTTTTTTTTTTTTTTTTTTCCCTTTTGGAGAGTGCATGTGATCAGCACATGGCCAATCAGCATTGCCCAGACAGAGGTTAGGGATTCTGCATCCTCCTAGAGAACTCCTCCTACAAGCTTTAACCAGTGCTTGGCTGGACACTGATAGAAGTCGCAAGACTGCTCTAACTGCTGTTGAGAAAAGGAATTTATCCGTTTATATTTACTAAAATAATTGCATTTTCATGTTCTGTGTACTGTGGGAGACCAGATATAGTGAATGCAGGGGCATGGGTTTAGTAATATTTTAAGTAACACCCTTTTATAATCAACTGTCTGCTGGACACCTGTTTAATGAAGAATGAGACTCACCTGTAGTAGTAGTTGTTGTTGTCATTATTATACAGGATTTATATAGCGCCAACGGTTTGCTCAGCGCTTTACAATATAAAGGGAGACAATACAGCAACAATACAGTTCAATACAAGAGGGTTAGGAGGGCCCTGATCCTTGGAGCTTACAATCTAAGAGTTGAATTCTTGTTGATTAGGATTTTGTTGTCTAAAATTTAGCTTTGCTCCTAAGACTTTCATTGGGGTGTATTCATTTTTGCGACATGGTCCTGAATGAATTTGTTAGGAAAAATACTTTTTTGTGTGTGCAAAATAACAAATATTGTTTGCAGTCAGAGGCCCACATTTGTGGGAGTATTTTGTAGTATAGTATCCCTTAGGAAATGTTGATTCTGAAAGGAAAGGTGTTCTGACAAATCTGTTGGGGTGTACTCATTTATGCTGGGCACTGTATATCCTAAGGGGCTGAAGATATATCATTATATTGGGAACTAGACATTCCCAATTATTTGAGATAT